ACAAAAGGATTAAAGGGTGGGGCTAATCTAATCTCTTTTGGGAGGGTATTCCAGAGCCAAGGGGGGGGGGGGGCACCACAGAGAAACTCACCCCACCAACAAGCATCATAACAAAAACAGACTTCAAATCCAGATTCCAGTAGAACAAAGCTCCACTCTATATATTAGATTTTCAAAAAGGACAAAAAGTAACACCAGCCATATATAAATAGATACAATAGATAGATATGTCAGCTTTGAATAGTATAGGGAAGGGTTCACATCCCTGTGGTGTTTGTTTTGCAGTGTGTGCCCCCATTCAAAGGATTTCACCTCACTTTCCATCTCCATGATAACTGGATTTTGGAAAAAAATGGCTTATTGTGGAAACAAGGGTTGGTGAGAAAGCTTTAGTGGAGACTCCTTTTCCCCATGATAACTCTCACAGGAGTGAATTTTTCCTCCTAGGGATAGATTTCTCTCATTTCCTGTTGTCTCACCTGTTCTTAACTATGAGTCATTTGTAAGTTGGATGTTTGCAACTCAGGGACTGCCTGTATTGTAATTCCTCACAACTCACTCCCAAGAATCTACCATATAATAAAATTTTGTTTAAGGGCAGTACTCTCTGATAAAGTAGTATATGGTTCATGAAAATATACTGCAAAGAAAATATGCTCTAAGATTATTGGGGGGGGGGGGTTAAAATCCAATCAAGTTACTGTCCAACTAAGATTGGGAGGAACTCGATTTTAAATTAGCAGAGAGCCCTCCTATGCATGTTTATGCAGTAGGAGGGCTTATAATTTCCAACGGATTTTGTTCACTTGGATTTTATCTGAGATTACTTTTTGTAATTGCATTTCATCCTTTCAGATTTCAGTCATGTTAATAGTGTAATTACGGTAATTTAATTCTATTTTAATATTTACTTTTATGTTTTAAATTCTTTTAGATTGTGAGCTGCTTTCACTCCCAATTGTGAGAAAGAAAAGGAGGAAAAAAGAAGAGAAGGGGTGAGGAAAACAAAAGGGGAAAGTAGAAGTAAAACCAGCCCATCACATATGCGGGGGTTAGGTGCACAGCACCTCCTTGAAAGTGAAAAACTCTCTAGGTCCTCCAGAGAGTGAATACAGGAATTGTTATTGCTTTTACCTCAGAGAAAACCTCTCTAGGAAATTCTAGGTCTTCTATCACAAACCTAGGAGCCCCTGGTAGCGCAATGGGTTAAAATCCTTGTGCCGGCAGGACTGATGACCAACAGGTCAGAGGTTCGAATCCGGGGAGAGCAGGTTGAGCTCCCTCTGTCAGCTTCAGGAGGGACATGCGGGGATATGAGAGAAGCTTCCCAAAAGGATGGTAAACATCAAACATCTGGGCATCATCTTGCAGATGGTGAATTCTCTCATACCACAAGTGGCTTGCAGTTTCTCAAGTCACTCCTGACACACACAAAAAAATCACAATCCTATGGTCAACTTCTAGAAATCACTAGGTTCTCCAGTATGAGAAATTGACAATAAGTCACTCTGGAGGACCTAGAGATTCCTAGAAAATTATTTATTTATTTCGTATTAAAAGCATTGCATACATTAGTATAAACCTGATAAAATAGAAGGTATGCAGGTGGCTAAATATCTTTTCACCAAAAACAGGCAACAGCAACGGCATTGTCTGTAGCCTCCAACAATTCCTCCTTTTCAATTCCAACATTTCTCGTAAACGGCTAATCTTTCAAAATAAAAAAACATTGCTTTTTGCTCCTAGAGAGTCAAATCTGGGGATAATAATCAAATCTTCAACAGCCGCATTCTGCGAAAGGATGTCTCTACAACCTTCACCACGTTAAACTGTTACATTTTAAATAAATTCTGAGTCACTTTGATTCCCAGCTTTGGGGGTAAAAAGGATATATAGCAGGCATGGGCAAACTTGGGCCCTCCGGTTGTTTTGGACTTCCAACTCCCACCATTCCTAACAGTCTTGGGATCTTTCCTTTTCCCCCTCAGCTGCTTAAGCAGAAAAGGGAAATTGAAAAGGGAAAGGGGAAATGGAAAAGGAAGGGGGCCTGAGGCTGTTAGGAATGGTGGGAGCTGAAGTCCAAAACACCTTGTAAGCTGCCCAAAGTCCCTTTGATGATGATGATGATGATAATGATTATTATTATCAACAATTGTGCCCAAGTTTGCCCATGCCTGCTTTATATCCTACTTTACCCCCAAAGCTGGGAATCAAAGTGACTCAGAATTTATTTAAAATGCTCTGTGATTGTAGGTGAACTATAAATCCCAGCAACTACAACCTCCAAATGTCAAGATTCTATTTTCCCCAAACTCCACCAGCGTTCACATTTGAGCATATTGAGTATTTGTTTGGTCCAGATCCATCATTGTTTGAGTCCACAGTGATCTCTGGATGTAGGTGAACTACAACTCCAAAACCAAAGGACACTGCCCACCAAACCCTTCCAGGATTTTCTGTTGGTCATGGGAGAACTGTGTGCCAAGTTTGGTTCAATTCCATCGTTGGTGGGGTTCAGAATGCTCTTTGATTGTAGGTGAACTATAAATCCCAGCAACTACAACTCCCAAATGACAGAATCATTTTTTTTGAGTGAAGGACATACATTGGGTTGTTAGTGTCTTGTGTCCAAATTTGGAGTCAATTCCCCCAGTGGTTTTGATTTCTGTTAATCCCACAAACGAACATTACATTTTTATTTATATAGACTAGATGTTCAAGCTGGGTTTAGAAAAGGTAGAGGAACGAGAGACCAAATTGCCAATATCCGCTGGATAATGGAGAAAGGCAGGGCGTTTCAGAAAAACATCTACTTCTGCTTCATTGACTATTCTAAAGCCTTTGACTGTGTGGATCATAATAAATTGTGGCAAGTTCTTGATGGGATGGGCATCCCAAGCCACCTTGTCTCTCTCCTGAGGAATCTGTACAAGGACCAAGTAGCAACAGTCAGAACTGACCACGGAACAACAGACTGGTTCAAGATTGGGAAAGGCGTACGGCAAGGCTGCATACTCTCACCCAACCTTTTTAACTTGTATGCAGAACACATCATGCGATGTGCGGGGCTGGATGAATGCAACGCTGGGGTGAAAATTGCTGGAAGAAACATTAACAACCTCAGATATGCAGATGACACCACTCTGATGGCCGAAAGCGAGGAGGAGCTGAGGAGCCTTCTAATCAAGGTGAAAGAAGAAAGCGCAAAAGCCTGGGTTGCAGCTAAACATAAAAAAACCAAGATTATGGCAACAAGAATGATTGACAACTGGAAAATAGAGGGAGAAACCGTGGAGGCCGTGACAGACTTTGTATTTCTAGGTGCAAAGATTACTGCAGATGCAGACTGTAGCCAGGAAATCAGAAGACGCTTACTTCTTGGGAGGAGAGCAATGTCCAGTCTCGATAAAATAGTGAAGAGTAGAGACATCAGACTGGCAACAAAGATCCGCCTAGTCAAAGCCATGGTATTCCCTGTAGTAACCTACGGATGTGAGAGCTGGACCTTAGGGAAGGCTGAGCAAAGGAAGATCGATGCTTTTGAGCTGTGGTGTTGGAGGAAAGTGCTGAGAGTGCCTTGGACTGCGAGAAGATCCAACCAGTCCATCCTCCAGGAAATAAAGCCCGACTGCTCACTGGAGGGAAAGATACTAGAGACAAAGTTGAAGTACTTTGGCCACATCATGAGGAGACAGCAAAGCCTGGAGAAGACAATGATGCTGGGGAAAGTGGAAGGCAAAAGGAAGAGGGGCCGACCAAGGGCAAGATGGATGGATGGCATCCTTGAAGTGACTGGACTGACCTTGAGGGAGCTGGGGGTGGTAATGGCCGACAGGGAGCTCTGGCGTAGGCTGGTCCATGAGGTCACGAAGAGTCGGAGACGACTGAACGAATGAACAACAACAACAAGCTGTACCCGCCATGCATTGCTGTGGCCAACCTTCCCTCCCTCTTTCTCTCCTTTCTTTCTCTCCTTCCTTCCTTCTCTCTTTCCTTTCTCCCATCTTTTTCTTTCCCTTCTTCTTTCTTCCTTCTCTACCTGTTTCTTTTTCGCTTCTTTTGCTCTTTGGTTCCATCTTTCCTTGTCTCTTCCCCTCCATCCTTCCCTCCCTCTTTCTCTTTTTCATTCCTTCTCTCCTTCCTTCCCTCTCACTTTTTTATTTCCTTCTCTCCTTCCTTCTCTCCCTTTCTTTCTTTCCTTCTCTCCTTCTTTCCCTCTCCCTCCTTCCTTCTCTACTCTTCTTTCTCTCCTTCCCCCTTCTTTCTTTCTCTCTTTCTTTCTCTCCCCTTTTTCTCTCCTTCCCTTCCTTCTCTCCTTTTCTACTTTCTTTCCTTCTTTCTCTCCTTCCCTCCTTCTTTCCTTCCTCCTGTGTATGTGTTTTGCGTGTGTATATGCATAGATGTGTGTGTTTGTGTATATATATGTGGGTTTGCACATGCATTGTAATGTTTTTGTTGCTTTTTAAGTCCCTTCTGTTGTGTTTTTCAGTGTTTTTATGAGTGATTGTCACTCGTTGGCCTGAGAGGCGTCTTGTGTCCAAATTTGGTGTCTGTGGCTTTTGAGTTATGTTAATCCCACAAACGAACATTACATTTTTATTTAGATAGACAGATAGATAGATAGATAGATAGATAGATAGATAGACAGATAGAAGACTTAACAGTTTAACGTGGCGAAGGTTGTAGAGTTATCCCTTCACAGAATGCGGCTGTTGAAGACATAAAGAAATAGAAGGAATGATTGAAAAGAAAGCGGAGAGAAGGGAAGAGGGAAAAAAGGGAGGAGAAAAGAAGGAAGAGGACAACAATGGAAGAAGAAAGAGAGCACTGGAAGACATGCGTCGTCAACACAGACTGAGGAGAATCGTCCTCCCGAGTTCAATCACACACCGGAAACGCTGCCGAACCGGATGTTCCATGACCGGAACCAGGCGACGGGGAAACTTCCGCCACGAGGAGGCTTAGCAGGGAAATCATTCTGGGGGCGTGGCCAAAACAAGCGACTACAGTGACATTAGCAAACGGGGCGGGGCATCGCGAGTGGCTGGCTGCGCGAAATATGAAAATGGAGGAGGCGGAGACGAGCGCGGCTCCTGGAAAGAAGAAGCCCAGGCCCCGCTTGCCGCCCTTCTCCGCCGTGGAGGCCGAGGCGGAGGCCGTTGCCGCTGGCTGGGTGCTGGACTTCGCCTGCCGCTGCCTCTGCCGCCATTTTTGTGAGGAGAACTGGGCGGAATTCGAGCGGAGCCGCGATCTGGCGTTGAGTGAGTGAGGGAGGGGACGGTTGGCGAACCGGTCTCGCGAGACTCCGCGGGATTTGGAGGGAGTTCTAAGTTTGAGAACCTACTAGGATGGGCATGGGCCAACTTGGGCCCTCCAGGTGTTTTGGCCTTCAACTCCCACCATTCCTAACAGCTTCAGGGCCTGAGGCTGTTAGGAATGGTGGGAGTTGAAGGCCAAAACACCTGGAGGGCCCAAGTTGGCCCATGCCCACTCTATAAATTTCCTAATCACATTAGTTGCCCTAGTCTTGTCTTACTCAACTGCCTAGTATGCCTGCCCTGTTTGGCATAAGTCTGTCCATGCCAAGCAGGTCAACATAACATCCAATGAAACATACAGAATAATCACAGGATGTCTTAAACCTACACCTGTTGACAAACTCTTCAAGCTAGCTGGCACTGCCCCCCCCCCCCAAATGTGCGACAGGAAGTTGCTGTTAAATGTGAGAGAAATAAGATAATCTCTCGTGGCTTGTTCTTGGTCTTGCAGCTCTTCTGATGTCTGAGGTGGAGTATCCATTGGCCTGGAGAGCCCAGTTGAGGTGGTTCAGTTCATCTTGGAGGAGGTGGGGTTCGCAGATTCTTTTTGCACGGTCTGCCAAGGCTTTAATGGTGCTTCTTTTTTGACTTGGAGCTTTTATGTAGATATCTATCTGTGTGTGTGGGTTTTCTGTAGACAGTGTGACCCAATTGATCTGGTTTGCGAATAACTAGGACGTCTAGAAAAGGCAGTCTTCCTTCATTTTCTTTTTCAAGAACCTAGTGATTCCAGCCATGAAAGCCTTCGACAATACATAGATTATTTATTTATCATGTCAGGGGCAGACCAAACAGTTGCATTGAATTTTTTAACAAAACAAACAAACAAATAAAACACAAAGTTTGCAAGCTTGGTAGTTGATTAAATGTCCTTTGACCAGTAGCTGGCCACTTGGAGTGCCTCTGGTGTTGCCTCAAGGAGGTCCTCCATTGTGCATGTAGCAGGGCTCAGGTTGCATTGCAGCAGGTGGTCTGGTGAAGAATTGTTGGAGGCTACAGACAATGCTGTTGTTGTTGCCCATTTTTGGTCAAAGGATATTTAACCGCCTGCGCTCCATCTGTTTTTATCAGTTTTATACTAATTTATGTAATGCTTTTCATACAAAATAAAAAATAAATAAATCAGATTAGTTCAGACTGGGTCTACCTTTGCCTCCCTCTGAGGCTGAGATAGTGTGACTCGCAAGCTTATCCCGTGGATTTCTGTGGCCTCCAAAGTCATCATCCAATAGTGACAGCATTCCTTTCTATGGCTCTCATAGGATCATACATGGCTTCATCCCTTGTTATTTTTGTTATTCCTATTACTTGTGTACTTCTGGAAACACAAAGCTGCTGTGTGAAAAGCTACCGCAAAGACCAGTGGCACCTTTGAAATTAAAAAAAAATAGTCAAAGATGGTGTGGACTCCACTCTAGTCGTGGCACCAGTTGCATCCATCACTGAAAATCTCATCCTGAGGATATTTCCACTGTTTTGTGAGAGACACTTCGTATAAGACAGTGGCAGACTTTGTATTTCTAGGCACAAAGATTTCTGCAGGTGCAGACTATCAGAGTGAGACCCCTGGGGTCTATGCACAGCGGAATTGAGGTTACCAGATCACACAGACACAAATTAGGACTCACTGCAGTGTTCAGTTTCAAAAATAACAAAGTTTACTTAACGCATCTAAAGACAGGTCTACTTCCAAGCGGGCTACATCTTGAAGACTACAAATCACAGCACACACAACAGTTTTTGGACCATCTGCTTATCTCATTTCTCTGGCTGGCTGGATCCTCCCTTTTCTTTCCCAGACAGAGGGAATTTGTTATCTTACTTCTGTCAAGGTCTTTTCTCTCTGCCTCTAGCAACAACAAATTCTAGCATACAATTGAACATAACTGAATCCATTTTGAATACATATGAACACCATTGTTAAACATATTGAAACACATTGAAAAACATACATGTATACTTTCAATTATCCTGACACAGACTGCAGCCAGGAAATGAGAAGACGTTTACTTCTTGGGAGGAGAGCATTGACCAATCTCAATAAAATAGTGAAGAGTAGAGACATCACACTGGCAGCAAAGATCCGCATAATTAAAGCAATGGTATTCCCCATAGTAACCTATAGATGTGAGAGCTAGACCATAAGGAAGGCTGAGCGAAGGAAGATAGACGCTTTTGAACTGTGGTGCTGGAGGAAAATTCTGAGAGTCCCTTGGACCGCAAGAAGATCAAACCAATCCATACTTCAGGAAATAAAGCCCGACCGCTCATTGGAGGGAAGGATATTAGAGGCAAAGATAAAAGCTTGGCCACATATTGAGAAGACAGGAAACTTGGAAAAGACAATGATGCTGGGGAAAATGGAAGGAAAAAGGGAGAGGGGCAGACCAAGGGTAAGGTGGATGGTATTCTTGAAGTGACTGGCTTGACTTTGAAGGAGCTGGGAGTGGCCATGGCCAAAAGAGCTCTGGCATGGGCTGGTCCATGAGGTCACAAAGAGTCGAAAGCGACTGAACAATTAAACAACAACAGCTTCATATCTCTCACAGGCACTGCAGACTAATTCAACCAGAGGAGCCAGCCTTATTTATTTATTTATTATTTTTATTTATATATCGCTTTTCTCAGGGGACTCAAAGTGGTTCACAACAAAGTAAATGGCAAAATGCAATGCCTCACAAAATATAAAATATACCACATAACTCAAATAGCACATAACAACAGATTAAAACCAGTAAACTATAAAACATCAAACATAGGCAATATAAAACAAAATACATTGGACATCGCAACAATCCTGAAGCTGACATGTCTGCTTCATCTCATTCTCCCAATGCTTGCTAAAAAGCCACATTTTGAGTAGTTTTCTTAATGTCAAGAGGGAGGGGGCTGATCTGATCTTGCTGAGGAGGGAGTTCTAAAGCCAAGGTGTCACCACCGAAAAGGCCCTGTCTCTTGTCCCCACCATTGTGCCTGTGAGGGTGGTGGGACTGAGAGCAGGACCTCCTCAGCCAATCTTAATGCTCCAGTTGGCTCATAAAGGGAGATACGTTTGGATAGGTAAGCTAGACCAGAAACATTTAGGAATTTATGGGCTAAAGCCAGTACTTTGAATTGTGCTCATAGCAGATCACTTGATGATCCAACCTGGACACAGCATATTATTTGAGAACACAGAAATGCTGGACCACTTTTAACAACCACCATGTGAGCTTACAAAGAAGCCCTTGATATCCACAAGTATGTGGACAATTCCATAAGAAAGGAGGAAACCATGAAAATGAACAAAATCTGGCTACCAGTATTTTTAAAAAACCTCTAGAATCAGGACAGTAAATAAAGAACAAAACTCAGAAAACAGGGAATTTCAGACAGGAAACCATCAGGGCCAGTTAACACCTCCCAACAAAGGATTCCAGCCAGGCTTTGAAGCTGCAAGATTAGGATGGGCATCCCAAGCCACCTTGTCTCTCTCCTGAGGAGTCTGTACAAGGACCAAGTAGCAACAGTAAGAACTGACTACGGAACAACAGACTGGTTCAAGATTGGGAAAGGCGTACGGCAAGGCTGCATCCTCTCACCCAACCTTTTTAACTTGTATGCAGAACACATCATGCGATGTGCGGGGCTGGATGAATGCAAGGCTGGGGTTAAAAATTGCTGGAAGAAACATTAACAACCTCAGATATGCAGATGACACCACTCTGATGGCCGAAAGCGAGGAGGAGCTGAGGAGCCTTCTAATCAAGGTGAAAGAAGAAAGCGCAAAAGCTGGGTTGCAGCTAAACGTCAAAAAAACCAAGATTATGGCAACAAGAATGATTGACAACTGGAAAATAGAGGGAGAAACCGTGGAGGCCGTGACAGACTTTGTATTTCTAGGTGCAAAGATTACTGCAGATGCAGACTGTGGCCAGGAAATCAGAAAACGCTTACTTCTTGGGAGGAGAGCAATGTCCAGTCTCGATAAAATAGTAAAGAGTAGAGACATCAGACTGGCAACAAAGATCCGCCTAGTCAAAGCCATGGTATTCCCTGTAGTAACCTACGGATGTGAGAGCTGGACCTTAGGGAAGGCTGAGCAAAGGAAGATTGATGCTTTTGAACTGTGGTGTTGGAGGAAAGTTCTGAGAGTGCCTTGGACTGCGAGAAGATCCAACCAGTCCATCCTCCAGGAAATAAAGCCCGACTGCTCACTGGAGGAAAAGATACTAGAGACAAAGTTGAAGTACTTTGGCCACATCATGAGGAGACAGGAAAGCCTAGAGAAGACAATTATGCTGGGGAAAGTGGAAGGCAAAAGGAAGAGGGGCCGACCAAGGGCAAGATGGATGGATGGTCCTTGAAGTGACTGGACTGACCTTGAAGGAGCTGGGGGTGGTGACGGCCGACAGGGAGCTCTGGCGTGGGCTGGTCCATGAGGTCACGAAGAGTCGGAGACGACTGAACGAATGAACAACAACAACAATCAAGGTGGCCAATTGCAAAACATTCATACTTGCCTCAAACAGACAAGAGTTCTTTCTCCCACCCTGGACATTCCACAGATATATAAATCCCACTTGCCTAGTTTCCAACAGACCTCACACCCTCTGAGGATGCCATAGATGTGGGCAAAACATCAGGAGATAATGCTTCTGGAACATGGCCATACAGCCTGGAAAACTCACAGCAACCCAAAGCTTCATAGCATCTTCTAAATGACATAGTTCTCTCTGAGATGGCACAGTTGGGTCACTGAAGACATAAAGACATGACATTAACTTTCCATATGCCTATACAGTTATATTTTGGGGTGCTGTGTGGTTTCCGGGCTGTATGGCCGTGTTCTTGCAGCATTTTCTCCTGATCTTTCGCCTGCATCTATGGCTGGCATCTTCAGAGGATGCTGCTAAAACACGGCCATACAGCCCAGAAACCACACAGCACCCCAGTGATTTTGGCCATGAAAGCCTTTGACAATACAGTTATATTTTGATGTCTCCTATACATGAATTGGTTCCAGAAGCATGACATCCAATAAACCAGTCTAGGGTTCCATCTTGAATACCTTTCAAATTGATGCCTATGGTGCCCCAAGCCTCTGCTTGGCTGCTGTGGGCAGTTTGTCACCCTTCTGGTGATGAGCCCCTCTGTAGTTTAGTTAGGCTAGTTCTTAACTCAAGCACACCCTTTCTACCTTCCAGTCCATACTCAAAGCTTTCTAATCTAATAAAGCCAAGTCTCTGAGATCTCAGAATGGCCACCATGCTGTGAGGGAGAGATCAAGTAGGACGTTTGAAAATGCTTCATTTGGGAAGCGGATCAGGAACTGGTTACTCCTATAACCAACACTGAAAGATTTGGATGTTAATTTTAAAAACTAATGTGTTTCAAAACATTCATTTGTCACAATGTTATTTTACAAGTATATTTATATTTATATTTGTCGTGTCAGGCAACCAGTCAATTATATTACATTTCTAACAGAACAAAGCAAACAAACAGACAAAATACAAAATTTGCTGAGTTTGGTAGTTGATTAAATGTCCTTTGACCAGTATCTGGCCACTTGGAGTGCTTCTGGTGTTGCTGCAAGAAGGTCCTCCATTGTGCATGTGGCAGGGCTCAGGTTGCATTGCAGCAGGTGGTCAGTGGTTTGCTCCTCTCCACACTCGCATGTCGAGGATTCCACTTTGTAGCCCCATTTCCGAAGGTTGGCTCTGCATCTTGTGGTGCCAGAGCGCAGTCTGTTCAGCACCTTCCAAGTCGCCCAGTCCTCTGTGTGCCCAGGGGGGAGTCTCTCATTTGGTATCAGCCATTGGTTGAGGTTCTGGGTTTGAGCCTGCCACTTTTGGACTCTCGCTTGCTGAGGTGTTCCAGCAGTGTCTCTGTAGATCTTAGAAAACTATTTCTAGATTTAAGTCATTGACGTGCTGGTTGATACCCAAACAGGGGATGAGCTGGAGATGCCTCTGCCTTGGTCCTTTCACTATTGGCTGCTACTTCCCGGCGGATGTCAGGTGGTGCAATACCGGCTAAGCAGTGTAATTTCTCCAGTGGTGTAGGGCGCAGACACCCCGTGATAATGCGGCATGTCTCATTAAGAGCCACATCCACTGTTTTAGTGTGGTGAGATGTGTTCCACACTGGGCATGCGTACTCAGCAGCAGAGTAGCATAGCGCAAGGGCAGATGTCTTCACTATATCTGGTTTTACAAGTAGCATGTTACCAATATGTTACTTTCTAAATAATGTTTTAGGAAAGGGGCAGAACCAAATATTCTAATTTTAGTATATGTGCTGCCGAAGTGAGCACCAGAATCAAATATGATCCAAATGAACCTAAAGTGAGCAATGTTTAAAGTAACAATGTGGTCAGTCTTTCTGTTATTTTGCAAAAGAAAAACCTCATTGCTTTCTTTGTTACCACCAAAGATTACTTCCAAACTATGCCATCATTCAGTACTCTTAAGACTGAATTGAATATCCTGAACTTTGTCTCCCTCTGCAGTTTTGAACAACCATAAAATACATTGTAAAGGGGAATGAATGTAAATACAGAGAATTACTTTGGATGTCTGGCCAGTCACATAGATTTTAGTGAAAGTGCCTTAGTGGCAAGAACTAAATATAAATTGCCCCTCAGTGCTCAATTGCAAGGAAATTCCATCACTTTGGCACAATCAAATAATGACTTTGGATTATAGTCAAGGTTGCTGATAGTGGTAACCACACAGTGGCACTGCAGGAACAAAATTCAACTAATCATATCTTTCTTTCTTTCAGCTATTATTAAAGGGTTACACAAAATAGAAACTCATCGGATGAAAACAGTGTGCCTTTGTCAGCTGTTGGCATATATCGGAGAAGGAAAGTCAATCGGTAAAAGATGCTTCTATTGTCTCCCACGTTCCACAGTAACTCGTAATTTGCAGACAAATTAATCAGATGAGTGTATTGTCGAAGGCTTTCATGGCCAGAATCACTACCTTACTACCTCTGAGGATGCTTACCATAGATGCATGTGAAACATCAGGAGAATCACTGGGTGGTTGTAGATTTTTTCAGGCTATATGGCCATGTTCTAGAGGCATTCTCTCCTGACGTTTCGCCTGCATCTATGGCAAGCATCCTCAGAGCTAGTTCCAACAGACCTCACTACCTCTGAGGATGCTTACCATAGATGCATGTGAAACATCAGGAGATAATGCCTCTAGAACATGGCCATATAGCCCGAAAAAAACCTACAACAGCCCAGTAATCAGATGAGGCTGCTATGATTATTCAGTGCCATCCATTCACATGGTGCTTCAGAGTAGCAGAGCATGAAACAGCATGAAATCCTTCTCTTGAGAGAAGTGTTCCTTGACTTTAAAAGTCTATCCTACGATATTGTCAAGAAAAGGAAAGAAAAGGTAAATATGAGTGGGGTAAAATGCTGTGTGCTCTTGATAGTTATTGCGAGATTCTTCTGCTCCAAACATTGGTGCTGTAGACCACCCAAAACAGTGGAATAAATTAAGAAAATGAGTAATGGTCAGACACTTCTTGTCTAAACAATGAGAGATGTTCACAAACAGCAAGTGTGTGTTACTGCCTCAAAGGAGCTACCTGGCAAATAGTGAGGAATCCATTTCCAAATCCTGTGCCAGATGACTTGCGTATCATTACAGCTCAGTGGCAAAGAAAGACACAAGCAGCCTCATGGCTGTCCACAAATACATTAGAGCACTAGGAATTCATTTGAGGTTCTAAAAAGAATGTATAAATTCTGATTCCCCCCCCCTCCCAAATAAAAGGTTTTTACTTCTTTAAGCAATGAAAAAATGAGAAGGATATTCCCAGCCATTATCTTATTTTTTTGAAGCCTGAACTTGTATTTTAGTGGAGAAATTCTTAATCTGGCAAGTGCATAAAAACAGTCCTTGTTTAGCCATAAAAATCCAAAATCCACATATTTCATCAACATGGAATAAATTCAAGAGTAATAAACAGTGTATAAAATACTTTCTTCTAATATGCAGTGGATGTTAGTGAAGCAGTGAATGGTGACAGGCAAACAACTATTCTTAAGTAACAAAGGCTGATATTAGTAGCAAAAGACTACACAGGAGCTAACATAGTAATATTGGGGTTGCTGCTATTTTTAATGATACAGGTGCTGTTCATGGTGTATACTGCAGTTCTAAAATAATTGCTTTAAAAGGTGTTTTTGTCTTCTGTTCTAGGATCTTGAATCACAAAAAAATTAAATAATCTTGTGTTTATATTCTCTAGAATTAGAGTGTGGTGTTTCTTCTCCCCATACATATTCCTAAATTTTGATTATTTGTTGAATCTAAATCCCAAATAGACTGCTGAGTATACCTTGAACAGTAGTCAGTATTTTCGACTGTTCACATAATAACTTATGGAAGGGGTTAATTAATAATTGTTAAATATTGTGACTCGTCTTGGTGATGTTGGAAGTTGTTCTTAGTTTGTTGTTGTAGTGATGATGATTTTATGCATTTTGAAGGATATGTTATATGGCACGAAATTCTCTGTCTGCATGTCTTCTAGCAACAATATTTTTCATACCAAGATGTTCATACCCTTCTGATTTCTTTGTTCAGCCTTTTCCTACAAGGAATAAAGGACCCAATGGGAAAGACTAGATTTGAGTAGTGTACTAGAGTTTCTGACTGGAAGAAAATCTGATTGATTACTACCAAGTCTAAACTGGTACAGTGTATTATTGTATAGATCATTTCTTAATATTGCAAATGGGATATTTAAGAATTCCTAGCTCGAAACAGTGACACAAATGTAATATCTATCTGGTTGCACTAGTTTAACCACATCAATGTGCAAACAACAAGAGAGGCCTGTCTTCTTGTAAAAATGAGAAACTGGTGTTTGAACGTTTTTAATATTTGACGTATTATGTGATACTTATTAACCTTTCTCAATTTATATCCTCATGAGATTGTCATACCAACAGTGACCAAAAACTTTCACCACTAGAAAATGCTTACTTGGTTTGGACTTCATTTCTAAAAGTGCAAAGCAAACAAGAGAAACTACATGAAGATATCAAGCGCTTGATTCAGATTCAGGTTTGTTTGTATATCTGTATTGCTATGGAAGGAAGTCAGAATGCCTTTTCTTTACTTACTTCATGAACACTTGTTAGTTAGATGAAGCAAAACTAAGTCACCATAAGTCTAATTTTTTAAAGGTAGGTGGTTAATAGAGCACTAGATTTGTCATAATATTAAGTTGCATATATAACAATGATCTCAAATTCCTTAGAAAGAATGCAGCAGTCCTCCCCAACCTGGCACTTGCCATCTCTTTTGGGCTACCTTCCATTACCTAACATTGAGCATATTAATTGTAGTTCAAAAAATCTGAGAGGCTATTCTCCACTACTTACCAGCCTGATTTTATGGGTCAGAAAATAATATGTTCAGGTTTTCTTTTTCTTTTACAGGCTGTAGCAGTATACATGGAGAAAGGATATTTTAATAAGGCTACAGAGGTGGTGGAACGGTTGTTTCCAGAATCACTCACAAATGAGGTAATACTTGATAAGTGAAATAGTCTGTTCTGAAACTCTCTCAAATAGAAATAGGTGAAACAGGCATGGTGGCTCAGAGTGGGCTGGGAGGAAGGGGGTTCTCCCCAAGTAACTTTGTTGCCTTTTCCTCCCCTTCCTCTGCTCTTTCAGAAGCAGAAAGTGAAGGAAAGACAGGAAACATTTGGATCTCAAATGGGTTGACCTTGGTCAGGATGAAATGGTGGACAGGAGAGAAAAAGTATCCATTAGACCCCGTATTGCCTACTTTTGATATAGAATCCTAGAGTTGGAAGAGACCCCCAAGGGCCATCCAATCCAACCCCCTGGCATGCAGGGAGGCACAATCAAAGCACTCCTGATATGTCAGCCTCTGCAGAAAAGCCTCCAAAGAATCAGACTCCACCACACTCAGAGGCAGCCTATGCCACTCTCCAGGAAGTTCTTCCTAATCTTTTCAGTCTAATCTCTTTCTCTGCCATTTGAACCCATGGCTCCCTTGTCCCTGGTCTCTAGAGCAGCAGAAAGTCAGTTTTCCCCCTCCTCCTCAATAGGACACCATTTTAAATCTTGAAACTTGGTTCTCATGTTCCCTCTTTACCTTCTCTTCTCCCAACTAAACATCCCCCAGGGGGAAAGAAGGAAGGAAAAAGAGGAAGAAGGGAGGAAGAGAAGGATGGAATGAAGGAAGGGTGGAAGAGAATGGAGGCAGAAAAGGGAGGGAGGAAAGACAGAAGGAAGGAAAGACAAAAAGGAAGGAAGGAGAAAGGAAAAGAGGGAAGGAGAAAGGAAAGGAAAGAAGGATGAAAGGGTGGAAGGGAAGGAAGGATAGAAGGAGAAAGAGGGATGGAGGAAAGGAGGAAGAGAAGGAAGGAAGGAAGGATAAGATGGTGAGAGAGAGGAGGGCCTGAGAAAAGAGCCCAAGGGGCCGCATCTGGGCCTGGGTTTGCCCATTCCTCATCTAAAACGTCTAGTATTTTTGCCAGTGTATCTGCTTGTAAAAACATATGGCCTAAAGCAAGACTGAGATTCTAGGCCAGCTACTTAATTAAGTCTACTTTTTCCTGGGATTACATATTGATGAATTATTTGTATCCATGATCTCTACATATTCAATAATGTTAAGAATAGAGAGAAATAAGAAACCTTGTCTCATCCTGGTTTACAGGATATCAGGCATCGATCCTGTCAATCAAGGCACAACAGGCTGTGTTTTCTCAGAGTTGAGATTGCTTACAGGAATTCAATGGAAACATCAGTCTGGTATGTCTTGAGCCACAGACCCTTGTCATTCACAGTGAATAATGCCTGGTAAGTCAGGACTGGGCAAATTTTCTTATTCCTATGTATTCTTAATATTGAATATGAAGGGCTCATGGGTACCAATAAATTACCAATGTGTCACTCCAGGTTATACATTTTAAATTGTTATCATGTATTCCTGATTTCTGAAACACCCAGTTAAGTACATCTATTTAAGTTATACTGGTTCATTAAGTCTATTCTATGGGGTTAAAATGTTCATTTTATCTGTCATAAGGATGCAATAGATAACTGTAAGTAACACTGACAATATGTTTTGATTTTTTTTTTTATTTTAGCCATTGCGAATGAAGTTGTGTGCCATAACAAAACAGAAAGATCCATACCACCCGTTTCTTCGGCATTTCAATTTCAAACTTCTGCTTGAAAAAATCAAGTCCTACATCACTGTTTTCTTAAATGAAGACTCTAATAATTTTCTAATTAAGGTATGTTGAAAACAAGAGAAACAGATACTCAAAAAAGAATAACATTGGATATGATGGCTTCAAAAGCAAAGCAAAATCCTCATGACTTTGAACTGAAAAATCCTGTTAATGTTTATTTAGCATTTTAAATGTTGTGTTTTGAAATATATCTATCAACATATGTGCAAAAAATAGCAAAAAAAATCCTGAGAACCAATGCATTACACTTAATGTTAGTGGTTTAAAATAACTTTATCTGGACCTGAAAGTCATCCACAGATGCCTTGCTTGTATTGTTCTATGCATTCAAGGTGTTTCTGTCTTATTGTGACCCAAAGGTGAACCTGTCAGGGTTTCCTTGTTGAATTGTTCAAAGGGGGATTACTTTTGCCTCCTTTTGAGGTTGAGAGATTGCAAGCAAGGATTCAAACTACGGTCTCCAGAGTCATAGTCAATCCCCAAACCACTACTGCTTGTTTGCCTGCCAGGAAGTCCAGCTAAGTTCTGAAGACAAAGTGAGAGGGCCTTCTCAGTGGTGACGTTCTACTATAAAAAATATTACTTTTATTTAGGCAATCCCTTGTTGTCTGAGGATGATGGCCCTCCAGTGGATATATAATGGCTGTAGAGCCCTATTCTTGATCCTCGTGTTCTTCTACAGTGAGGGCATCAGTTTCCAGGTGGAAGGCGGTCTCGTTCAGGGTTGGCTTGATGCGCCTTCCTCATGGCACGTTTCTCCCCTTTGCCCTCAATTCAAGCTTCTTCAAATTTTACAGGACAGCTGGTCACAGCTGACCTCCAGTTACCACACTCAAGGGCCAGGGCTTCCAAGTTCTCAGTGTCTATGTTTTTTAAAGTTAGCTTTAAGACCATCTTTAAATCTCTTTTCCTGTCCACCAACCTTCTGTTTTCTGTTCTTAACTTGGGAGTACAGTAACGGTTTTGGGAGACAGTGATAGGGCATTCAAACAAAGTAGCCAGAACAGCAGAGTTTATGGTGGAGGAGCATCACTTCAATGCTGTTGGTCTTTGCTTCTTCCAGCACACTGATATTTGTCCGCCTGTCTTCCAAAGAGATTTGCAAGATTTTTCGGAGGCAACACTGATGAAATTGTTCCAGGAGTTGAGTGTGATGTCTGTCTGAAGACTGAAGAAATGCAATACTTTGCAGATGTCCATGATGCTCAGGGATTTTTTTTAAGCCACCAAGGCCATCTACAGACCAAGAAATTATGGCATACACCTTCTACACTCATCAGAAGGACAAAAAATCAATTGCACTATGTTGGAAAGAGCATTACCATAACCTCATGAACCACAGCTCCAATGTGGCCAAAGAAGTTCTCTTGCTAATCCCGCATCAACAAACTAGGGGTGAGTTTGCAGCACTGCCTAGTTTGGAGGAAGTCAGCAACACCATTAGCCAACAAAAAAAAGAAGAAAGTCAGCAGACCTGATGGGATCTGTGCCGAAGTTTCTAAAGAGGGTGGACCTAAGCTGACACAACAATTCCACCAGCTCATTGAAAAAATGTGGGTGACTTGAGAAAATCCCAATAGACTTCACTATCATCGCCCTTTTGAAAAATGGGAAAGAACAGACTGGAAACGCTCAGGCTATCTCCCTTCTAACCTCCACTAGGAAAATCCTCGCAAACCACCTTCTACCTGTCTCAAAAAACACCCTCCCAGAATCCCAGAAGAACTTCTGCCCCTCCAAAGGAACAGTAGATATGATAAAAATTACATTGGTTTTCTGGTTCTTAAAGACTTCCTATGGACATTGTTTGCCTGGATCAGATACAGTTTTACTGTGCTATTCTTAGTATAAAATCTGTGCTGGTAAACTACTCCAGAAGACTTCTGGCCTAAACACACTAGTGTCAACATGGATTCATTTAAAACATACATAAGTACTGAAACTGGGACTAACAATTGCATTTAAGGCTTTATCTTTAAAACTCCCTCTGAATGAATCTTTCCCACAGTGTGCCATAACACTGTTACACATATGAAGGCACATAGCAACCATTTGAAAATTAGTATAAAAGGCTTTAAATAAGACTGTTCTGTTTTACAGGAAGCTACAAAGGAGGTAGAAAGCAGGTGTACAGGAAAAATCATGGTACCTATAGAATTTGATAAATTAATTGAAGAAAAGAAAGAAAAGTACTTTGAAATGACACGGAGGTTAGTACTGTAATGGCTTGCTATTGAAGTACAGTTGTTGTTGCCAAAGTTTCATTAAAATGTAGACAGTACAGAAACGTATGTAGATTTATGCTGATATTCCTGATATCTATGCTTTACCATTTTGCTGCAGTAAAAAAAAAAATTCTTTTTTCTTTAAAGCCTTGGGTTGTGTTTTGTAATAGTATCTTTTATGTACATTGTAATCTTGAGGGCAAATTAATATTTTGTAAGCCGCTTGAGTGCTTTGTGGGTGAAGAGCAGGGTAAAAAATCTCTAAATAATAATTTAAAAACTATTATGCAGGAGACAAATGGAGAAAATCGCACAAGCTGCCTAGTGAGTTATATGCACAAAGCCAGGCTGCACTGGTAGGCAGATTGATGTGAGCATACAAAGGGTGTACAGTCCCACAGGCACACATTGCCAAGTGACAGAAAATGCAGACCTAATTAGGATAAGAAACCTAGAAACGACATCAATGATTCAAGGGAACTTTGGAAAAGATGTCTAAATACATGTTATGGTCACTGAAAACAAGAATATATAAAACAAAATTCCTACCAATCAGTAGCATAAATCAAGCTTGGAGAAGTCATCCAATGTATTTTCTGCCCCTAAAGTAACTATCCAACTAGATCCACCAGCACTTTCTGCATTGCTGTCTCCATTTTCAATATCAATTCCTGTCTTTGAATATCCTGCTTAGATCTGAAATATTTTCTCTTTAGAATGGTTTCTTATTGGCACAGAATAGGAAATATTAGCTTTTCATTTCTGTTAGTACCATATCATTTGGTTGAATTATGCATAGGTGTTTCCTTGCTTGCCAAGAAGGTTCTGTGGGAGGATATAATGGTAGATTTTCTGAGTAAAGGCTCAGAAAGATATTATAGTACTGCATATAGTAATGCCTAGAACTTTAGGCATGAGTTCTCATACTGCTTATACTTTGAGATCACTATTACATTTTCTAGCAAACTGGCAAAAGGGGGCACATGAAAAATCTGTTATGTTACCATTAATTCTTATATTATACAATCTTTACATTAATTTGTCCATGCATATATCCAATGACAGTTAAGGTTCACAGTCTGAAATACCAGTATTTCTTATTCCTTTACAGATCTGATCAGCAGTCTTATTCCTTGAATGATGAAACAACATTTTTTAATCCAGAGCAGGCAAAATCTTCACTGAAACCAAGAACCAGGAAACAAAACGTTCTTCAAAGTAAGTGTTCTAGATCCTAGACTTTTTATATGTTTTAATTGTACTTTTAATTTATAAGTCACCTTGAGTCTCACTGTTGGAAGGAAATGCAGGATATAAATTAAGCAAAATGATGGTGATGACAATGAGTCTTTTACATGGCAATTTCCTGTGATCTTTTTAGATAATGTTATCAGCATGACTATTTAAAACTGAAGCAATGGGAAATGCTTTTACTGTAACTGTATGTCCTGATTTGTCATATAGAGAATTAGTAGAAACCTAGCTTTTCAGAAAGGGCCCCCTGGTGGCGCACCAGGTTAAACTGTTAAACTTGGTGGCGCACCAGGTTAAAACAGTCAGAACTTGCTGACTGAAAGGTTGGCGGTTTGAATCCGGGGAGCAGGGTGAGTATAAGCCAACCGTAATATAAGCCGAGGGAGGCTTTTTCAGCCAAAAAAAAGTGCTGAAAAACTCTGCTTATACTTGAGTATATATGGCAATGGTTTTAAATTGTTTTAAATTTTTGTATTTGCCATTTTTAAATGTGTTGGGTTATGAGTTTCCTTGTGTCCCAAGAAATACTTTATACAGAAACATATGTAGACTAAAAGAATCAAATGGTACTTGTTCAGTAATAGATCTGTAATGATAGTCATGGATGTGCCTTTACCTGGGACTAATTTCATTGCACTTCTTTCACGTTTTAAATTCTAAAAAAACACTCGTCCCTGTTCAAAGTACGTATTGCAATAAATGTCCATTGCATTTACATAAAAGGCTATTTCATTACTGTTTTTATGATATTACAGTTCAGCTGTAATAAAGTCAATCTTCTTGTACAAAACAGCCTGCATTAAACTAATACTTAGCCATGTCTCAGCATCATGTTACTAATAATATATCAGTTTATAGAATATGAAATGCCTATTTTTCTTTACCTTATCTAGAGAAGGAAGATTTGCAGGATATTGAAATTAGTCCAAAAAGGTGGCCGTCAACAGGTCAAAAAAAACAGGTATGAATGGGAAAGGTTCTAAAATCATTTTATAAAATCACATTAAAGTGATGTTACATATGTTTGCTGCATGTGGCCATCCTACAAGCTTTTGTTTACAATATTAGCCTAATTCTTCAAGACTTTACAAATGCATAAATAGAGAGAATGTCAGATAAAGGTAATCTAGCTGCTTTTTCTATTTTAAACAGTGAGACAGTCTACTCAGCATATAAGGTAATTTCTACGTCTCAATTAGTAGGAAATACAAAGTGGTATTGTCATGTATTTATTTACTTACAATATTTACATTCTGCCCAATAACAATAATAATCTGGACAGTTTACATTAAAAGTTAAAATCATAACATATACAAAGTAAAACAACATTTGAAACAGATTAAAAACTAAATTAAAACCAGTGACAGGATTGCAAAAGACCCAGAAAGCACAAAACAGAAGCCCTGGAACAGTAAAGTGTTCATCTGACACCAAAAAGAGCATAGAGACCAGGTGAAACTGTCACTGAAGGGAGCATTTTACCATTGGGGCACCATCACTGAAAAGGCCCTTTGTCCCGTAGTTACCTGTGTCACTCCATTTGGCACTTTTGCTGAAACTGCTTAGCCAAAGGAAGGCAAAAAGCTCCTGCCCTCACATAATTCTCCTCTGTGCTCAGGCCTGGCAAAGACTTCAAAGCCTGGCAGGAGAGGCTCTTGGCTCATTGAGCTTGGGAAGCTGGCAGCCCTTGGCTTACATCTGTCTCCTTCCTCAACAATCCCAAGTTTCTCCTACAATAAAGAGGCATATGACTTTTTTATTCATCCACATTCTTTGTTATTGAAACCTGAACTAGATATTAGCTCTTCTGATATTCCAAGTGAATTGAACTTGCTCGTGTCAGTAGTGATTACTGTTAAATATCATAGCAGTTGTTTATATCAATCTTCTGCTTCCCACTTAGTTACTATTGTGGTTAATTATCATACGGTATATGGATCCGTATCTTGACCGTACAGTTCTGGAGTCCAAAATATCATTCAAAAGGTCAGTCCACAGTCATGTCCTACATCATTGATCACACAGCACAGACAGTCCCTGGGTTATGAACAAGATAAGTTCTTTTGGTTTGTTCTTAAGTTGAATTCATATGCAAGTCAGAACAGGATTTTTAAAAATGTAACTCCAGCCAAAGCAAGTTTTGGGTAGCATAGGGAAGGCTTAGCACCCCTGTAATATTGGTTTTGTTATCTATGTCCCTGTTCGGAAGATTTCCCCTCACTTTCTGTCCCTGTGACAATTGGATTTTGAAAATTTTGGGTTTTGGTGGAAACCAGGATTGGTGAGGAGACACCCTTTTCCCATTATAACTCTTTCAGGTGTTAATTTTCCTTCTTAGGGATAGATTTCCTCTCACTTCCTGTTGTTTCACCCCGTTCTTAACTATGAATGATAAGTCAGATGTTTGTAACTAAGGGACTTGTATGATACAGATACAGGAATGAAGTAATTGCCATTTTGTGGTTGCTCCAGCTTAGAAAAAAGTCTGGCCATAATATAATTCAGGGCCTACAGGACGAATGCAAACCACCATGCCATTTTATGTGGCCCTCCAAATGTTGGGCTACAACTCCAGCATTCCTCCTCATTCGACATCTTAACTAGAGCTAATGGAAATGATGATACAGTAACATTTAGAAGGGTGCAGTTTGTTTAGTCAGGATAGTGAGTTTGAATTTAGGTGCAAGGCTTGTGATGTGATCCCTGACTATTATAATGATGATGATAATGATAATAATAATAATAATAATAATAATGTAGTAATACTTTATTTATAACCCACCCTATCTCCCCGAGGGGACTTGGGGGTTTCCAGAGGAAATAAAATAGCGGCAAACATTCAATGCCAAAACAACAAATAACAAGTCAAACAATGGGTAAACAAACTTAATAAAGATTATAAAACAGCAAACTTAAATAAACATAACATAATACCACGCACACATGTACAACATAGTAAGTTCTAAACTCTTAAAAATTAAACTCAAAACTTTAAAACGAAGATGGCATGTAGCATCTAACAGGTAAAAGTAGGTGTCAGCAACTAGGTGAGGGTATATACAAAGATGTCGTAATCCTCCTCCTCTCCGTAATCTAAAGTACATAGATGGGTTTTTAAAAGCTTTTTGAAGAGAAGAGGGAGGGGACCATCTTTAGGGAGGGAGTTCCAGAGGCAGCAATCACAGAGAAGGCCCCCTCTCTCGTTCCCACCAACTGCACTTGAGACAGGGGTGGGACCGAAAGCAGGGCCTCTCCACAGACTGCATAGCTCGAGCTGGTTTGTATGTGGAGATGCAGTTTTTCAAATAGTCTGGGTGTAAACAGTTTGGGGCTTTATAGGTTTAAGTTTAAGATGTCCTTTAACTTTTTCCCAACCTCAGAGCTACAAGGGCTGTTGGGTTACAGTTCCCATTATCTCCAGCCCACATGGTAGATTATCAAAACTGAAAGAAGCTGTCACTCAATAACGTCTGGGAACCCAAATTGGGTAAAATCTAAAGAACACCAACTACTATGTAAAAAACAATTATAGTTGGCCCTTGATGAAAATGAGTTTAACACCCCTGATGTATGTGATGACTCTTATGCATTTATGCATCAGGTTTGAGACTCTCTATGTAAAGTATGACATTTGTAGAACTTTCCACCAAAACAGTTAAGACAGCAAATCTATGTTCTACAAAAATTGATTACTTTAGTATGGCCTGGACAGCAAGTCCTTGAAATGCTATACATCTGTAGTCTGCAAGCACACAAAAGACTTGATAATGTAACTTTTTACTCTAATAATTCAAGCTGCCAGGAAATAAAGGTTTTTCCAGCACATTACTGAAAGATTAAAACATTTTAAAGGGTCTGTTTTTGAACACTATCTTTTCCCTTTCCCTAAAAGCGATGGAGTTGTGAAGAAGATGAGAAACTTAAAGATGGTGTGCAGAAGTTTGGAGTAGGAAACTGGACTAAAATTCTTCAACATTATGACTTCAAAGAGCGAACTAATGTCATGCTGAAAGACAGGTGGAGAACTATGGTCCGATTAGGCATGGTTTAAACTGCCTTTCCCAAATATGTCATCTGTTTCCCTGTTCTTCCCTTATGGTAGTATCATGATTTAAACATTACATTCATTGCTATCTTTATATGTAAATTATAATACAATAATTTATGAGGTGTGTCCTCAATTGCTAATATATTTCTATAACATCTTTTATGCCTCTCAATGTATTTCGTCAAGACTGACGGAGGGTTAATACGAAGGTTTCTATCTCATTACTGAACAGAATTGGTGAAGTCATGTAGCATCAGAATGTTCCATTTCTATCTCACGTATCACTGCATAAAATACCTCAACAAAACTGTTTGAAGACTTAAAAAAATCAAAGAATAGGTAGAACCTAACTGAATATTTAAGAACTGTGCAGTTATATACTTTAATACTTGCCTTTCACAGAGTTCTCTACAAGAAGAATATGGGTAGTTGATTGTTGGTGCCAAGTATCATAACAGTTGTTTTTCTGGGAACAGGAAAGGTGCTAACTCCTCTTTCTGTGTCTCAAACAACTGTGACATATTATGTACTGCACCAGTATGACTATCGTGCCTGTCTTTTTTCTTATCCTTTCTTGGACTTTTAAGCTCTCGGTGTATATTTCATGTGCGTTTACTGGGCTGTATGGAAATAAAGCACAGGGATTGGTTATTCTGATAACTAGTTGTAAGAGCTGTGCTTCATGCTCTATTTATAACTTTGGGTGGGTTAATTTTCTTTCACTTAATGACATATCCAAAATCAACCACTCATCTGTACCATTTGTACAGTATTTGGAAGAGAGTTGTATTGAAGTAAGGAAGGGTGGCTGTATATAGATTATTGTATGTAGCTCTTATCCCAGAATTTGGGTTCTAAAACAATGTAATTATTTGTGTCTGGAGTAGTTTAACTAGTTTAATTTTATACTAGGTCTTCCTCCATTCTGGATTTGAAAATATTGTAGTAACATACCAGCAAAATAAATACTATTTTGTTATATAGTCTATGAGTCTTATCTCTACAACCTTCATATATTGCATTTGCAACGTGGTTCATTTTTATGTATTTAGAGCTTTGTCATTTAGCTTTATTCATCATTAATAGCACAGATCACCCTGACATTTAATAAGGTCATGTGTTGTGCGTCTTCAAGTCAACTAAATTTATGATAACCTCATGAATTTGATAGGGTTTTTTCTTGAGCAAGGACTATTCAGAGGTGTCTTTGCCAGTTCTGTCCCCTAAAATATAGCCTGTAGCACCTGGTGTTCAGTGGTATTCTCCCATTTTCAAGAATATAGTGAGTTCATTTCCACAAAAGGGATCTACCCTGTTGCAAGGACTTCATTTCTAATGGAACTGTGATGAGAAGAAATATGCATGCTACAGACTGCTGCAAAAAAATTGTTCATCATCATTATCCTTCCCAGGAAGAAAATAATGACAACACATAGATTTTTACAGCAACTTTGGTAAGTCCAGCCCGGCAGTGTTTTATCTGCTCCTCCACCTCTTCATCTTTTTTCCTACCAACAGCCCCAGTCCTGCAAGGTCTCCCAAATCTAGTCCCTTTTCTAGGAAACGGCTTAGAGCAGAGCTTTCCAAACTGTGTAATGCGACACATTTGTGTGTTGACTGTAATGTGTCACACAAATATAGCAAGTCTATTGACCTCTTCATACAGGGCATTTTTGCCCCATTTTGCCACTTTTATTCACTGCAAGGACAGGGCCTGCAGGGCCTGCCCTCATTCCTCCCAAAGTGGAGGGAAACCGCTGAAAGGCGCTTTCGCCACCACTACGGGGAGGAAAGTGTAGTTTGGGGTGGCTACCCACATTTTCTTCCCCTTTATGCCACATGAGGGCAGAAAAGGCAGTGTGGCAACACGTGTTGCTGCCCTTTCTGCCATCTGATGGGCACAGGGTGTGACCACACCCTGTCCCGTCTCCGTGTGATGGAGAAAGGAGGGAGGGCACGTGGGGCACCAAGAGCAGCCCCAATCACCTTCCCTTTCGTGGCACAATGGCATGGCCCAGTAGGGCTATGTGAAGTGGTCCTATGTGAAATAAGCAATAAACTCTGTATTTTTTAAAAAAAATCAATGAAAGGGTTCCATGAGATGTGTTTTGTCCCCATACATTTAATTATTACAATTTACATATTGTCCATATCTGTTATAAAGGGTTTAACCTCTGATTTGCTCACGGTCATGAGTCAGCAAGATCAGAGCAGGGCTACTGAGGAGAGGCTGACTTGGAGATTTCTGCTTCACAGATTCCTCAGAAGTCAGTCAACTTGAATGCAGCTAACAACAACAAATACTTCTATACTATTAAATAGCCTTCCTAACCTTTTTTTTCTGCAGCCTCCTACCATTTCTCCAGGAGGCCCCTAACAACTTATTATTTGACTTATAAGTATGTGATCAGGTTGCAGACAATATACCTGGAATTTCTAAATTAGAGGAGTTTTTTCAAGCAGTTTCTCTCATGTAGACCAAGCAAACATTACACATCTGGAATCACCTGCTAAGATACACTGACGCAAGTGACTCTGGACCAGCCACCATCCACCTCAGATCATGCAAACGGGGGGGATCATGCAAAGTTGAATTCCCACCATAATACCGGATGCTGTCTTCATAGTGCCATAATATACCTTGAGATTTGTTACCTCAAAATTCCTCACTGCAGGAAAGGCTAAGAGTGATTTCAGAATTCTGACTTTTCACTTGCTTAAAATTAATGTCGTCCACAAATGTCCAATCACATGAGTAGCTTCCTTGATTTCATCAATGGTATGTGTTCAAGCTGCTACGTAAAAATAAAGCTATGTACTAGAGGACATGAGCATTCTTCCAATTGCTGAACTTTCTTCCATGTGCCATGGCAGGCTGGATTGCCGACTGCTTGCCAATGAAGAACTTTATTCCTAAAACAGAACAGATATTTCTTATTCTCATGAGGTGGTTATTCCTGCACAGCATCTTAATGTCCTATTTGAAATAACATCCTTTGTAAAGAAGTACTGTACTTTAATGTTGAATAATTCTAATAGGTATACTACTTGCAATTATCAGTGCAAGACCTGCAAAATACCTTCACCTGAGCAACTACCATAGTATCCCATTGGAGAACCTAGTAAATTTCAGGTCCTCAGGGGCTGCACTATGGTAACTTCTGGCTTAAATTGTTTGTGTCAATAAGGGTCACTATTATCCAGTTCCTGTTTCTATGGTAAATTCAGGAAGCTATCCCCCACATATATAGGGGCCATACTATATGGTCAAACAACTGAGGAACATTCCTGTGTAATACTCTAGAACACTGAAGGTTGGTACTGTTCTAGAAGTGTTTTTTAAGGAATATAGATTACATTAATATTTTCTTAGGGTTCTGTTTTACATTTGTTCAGCTTGACATATAACCTATAAGCTTTCTGTTATTGCTACGACTTTGGATACAGTATTCATTTCCTTACCCATCGGTATCAACTCCATCTCCATAACAGCGATGGCTACCCGCACGCATTGCTGGAGGCTGGCAAGTTACACACACAGTATATCCTTCTCGTAGATACTGCATCCATCGAGCATATGGACGAGTCTCCAAAGAGCAATAAGGTGACAATGATTCAGTTTTAAATTCCACACAGTAGCTCCTTCAGGGAAGAAATATTTTTTTAAATGTTGACAACTTAAATTATCCACTCAGAAGATCTAGGGTGTAATTATAGCATGGTTGTAGTTTGCAATGGAGAAACATGCAAACAGGCCATCAAACTGTCAGTTGTAAAAAGAATGAACCCATATGAAATTTATGTAGTAACTGGATAAGTCAAAACGGGCTGAATGAAACCCACTTTTAACTGATGTTACAGCAATGCATTATAGCATTCTATTTGCTACAATTGTGTGTCAAGACAGTAAGCTGACAATTATTACAAAGGGCAGGCTTTCTTAAACATAATGGTTTCTAGATGAGACATATAAAAATTCTGAGTTTGAATCTATGGGCTCTTGAAATTGCACAATGCAGACAGGGAATCATAACCAAATAGTAAAAAAGTAGTAACTAATAAAATTAAGGGATAAATCCTGTTGGTGAATTATGATGATCTTTCTGGAGATCAGAATTCTGCTTTGTCTATAAACTGTATAAATATAATTAAAAGTGTAAAATGAATAAGAATATTGATTTTTTTTCTGTTTGATTAGCCTTTCCATTCATATATGAAAGAATTTCCCATTTAGCTGAATGATCCACTCATATAAGAAAACAAACATATATCACACTCTTATAGATGAGTGGGAGAAAATTCTGAATACAAATGAACTTTTGCCCAAGATAACAGGATAGAATGGCAGCCTTAATTACCTAAACTCTTCTGTTTCAGAAGACCATCTTGGGTTCACAGCTCTCTTTGTTCTCTCTTTGTTATATTCAAAACTAGTTATGAAAGCAGGAACTAGGAAGAAAAAAAGCCATTATGAAAACAAGAATAAAGAAAGCTGATGAAAGAAGCTGCTTAACTGCAGTTGTGGAGACAGTGTTAAGACTCTATGCTACCTAGAAACCACATTGGGCATCAAATCAATCTAATACAGTGTTTCTCAACCTGGGGGTTGGGACCCCTGGGGGGGGTCACAAAGGGGGTGTCAGAGGGGTCACCAAAGACCATCGGAAAACATGGTCCTGGCGGTTGGTGTGGAAAGTTTGGCCCAATTCTATCATTGGTGAGTTCAGAATGCTCTTTGTCGCTGAACTATAAATCCCAGCAACTACAACTCCCAAATGTCAAGGTCTATTTTCCCCAAACTCCACCAAAGTTCACATTTGGGCATATTGAGTATGTTGCACTCAAGTGGGTTTCAATCAAGTCCAATGCAGAAGACACAATAACATTGCACACAGACAAGAGGATCATGAACAGAAAAAAATCTTTACTCTTATCAGCAGAGTTAAAACATAAACTTGCACTGTTGCAAACAAAACAAACAGTGCAACAAACTTACATACTCCTTGTAAGCAATACAGAATAAGGTTTCTTCAACTTCCTCCAAATGAGAGAGCAGTACAAATGGTTCAAAATGCCTGAGCAAAGGCTTCTTAGAGCAAAAGCTGAACTGTATTCTAAAATCCATACAGTTATACCCCACCGGATGTGGTCCAAACTTACTAGTTGATCTACATTAGCAACTGCACATAATAATAAACAATATAAAGTTTTCTTTAACACACACACATACTCGATCCTGTTACGACTTACTGTAACAGAGTATTCATGCCAAGTTTGGTCCAGATCCATTATTGTTTGAGTCCACAGTGCTCTCTGGATGTAGGTGAACTACAACTCCAAAACTCAAGGTCAATGCCCACCAAACCCTTCCAGTATATTCTGCTGGCCATGGGAGTTCTGTGTGCCAAGTTTGGTTCAATTCCATCATTGGTAGAGTTCAGAATGCGCTTTTATTATAGGTTAAATTCCAGCAATTACAACACCCAAATGACCAAATCACCCCCACCCCACAACCCGACCGGTATTCAAATTTGAGCATATCAGGTATTGTGCCAAATTTGGTCCAGTGAATGAAAATACATTCTGCAGATATTTGCATTGCAATTCATAACAGTAGCAAAATTACAGTTATTAAGTAGCAACAAAAATAATTTTATGGTTGGGGGGGGTCACCACTACATGAGGAACTGTATTAAGGGGTCGCGGCATTAGGGAGGTTGAGAAACACTGCTCTAATAGGATGCACTCAAAATAAATGTAACATTAGAAGAGTCGTGTTAGATCAAACCAATTGCCTTCCTAGTCCAGTGTATTTTTGATGCTGGGCAGGTAAAAAGTCAAATGCCATGATTTTAAAAGCACTGTGTTTGCATTGACAGTTCTTAATGTTTATGTCTGAGCAGTTATGCCTGACTTTACTTATCAAATAGAATTTGTGTTGTTTGTTCTAAAATCAAAGTCATAAAGTTTATATATATATATATATATATATATATATATATATATATATATATATATATATATATGAGAGACTACTGTCAGCCTTGCCCAGGACTTGTATATATATTTTGTATATATTCCAATAAATACATGTATATTTGCAATTGAACAGCCTTTCCAAAAGGCTCAAAGAATATTTTATCATGGTTAACTCTCTTTGTTTATTTATTCAAGAGTGAAATAAGAACATACTAGAACTTATTTCAAGACATAACCATGGTTCTATATAATCCAACACATAACATATGTTTCAGGACTATTACAGCTTTTGCTGCCTCTAAACAGAAACAAAATGGATTTTGTGCTTATAAATTACTTAGACTATTTTCCATTTTGGAAAGATGCAGAATAATAACAATTGTGACATGCTTCCAGGAGACATAATGCTTAGAAGCAGCCTGGGAAATAAAAGATGTTTATTGTATGTATGTATGTTTAGAGATAGCTCAAGAAAGTTATTAAGGAAATAAAGATAATTTCACACTACTGTACTGTACTTGACAAGGCTTTATTTTGTTAAAAATGATTCTATAATTGTTATTATTGTTGATCCAAGTGGTTTTATATCTCTTCCATAAAAACAGGGAAGCAGCCTGCTTTGTGTTATATTCTTCAAGGACTGTATAGGAATGAATAAGTGACAGCTGCAGTGCCTGCATCCCTTAGAAGAAAAGTATGTTATTCTATTTATTTATTTATTTATTTATTTGCTATACTTGTATACCGCCGTTTCTCAGCCTAGCCGGCGACTCAACGCGGTTTACAACAACTTATAACAAACAACAGTATACAGTTTAAAAACATAAAAACACAATCCACAATACATATATCAATAAACAATCCAATTCATCTCTTGACTAAAATCGCGATCCAGTTTCGTCGTCCAAATTGCCAGTCCTTCAATCATTACACTTATTGCACTGAGTTAACCGAACGCCTGCTCGAACATCCAGGTTTTTAGTCTTTTCCGGAATACCATCAATGAGGGGGCTGATCTTACCTCCATGGGGAGGGCGTTCCATAGCCGCGGGGCCACCACAGAAAAGGCCCTGTCTCTCGTCCCCGCCAGCCGCACCTGTGAAGCAGGCGGGATAGAGAGCAGGCCCCCCCCAGAAGATCTTAGGGTCCTGGTGGGCTGATAGGCCGAGATACGTTCGGATAGGTAAGTTGGGCCAGAACCGTTTAGGGCTTTAAAGGCCAACGCCAGCACTTTGAATTGAGCCCGGTAGCAGATCGGCAGCCAGTGGAGCTGGTGCAGCAGAGGAGTTGTATGCTCCCTGCGCTCCGCTCCTGTTAGTATCATGGCTGCCGAGCGTTGGACTAGTTGGAGCTTCCGGGCCGTCTTCAAAGGCAACCCCACGTAGAGAGCGTTGCAGTAGTCTAAACGGGATGTAACCAGAGCGTGGACTACCGTGGCCAAGTCAGACTTCCCAAGGTACGGGCGCAGTTGGCGCACGAGTTTTAACTGTGCGAATGCTCCCCTGGTCACCGCCGAAACCTGGGGTTCCAGGCTCAGCGATGAGTGCAGGATCACACCCAAACTGCGAACCTGTGTCTTCAGGGGGAGTGCGACCCCAGAGGCGGCCCTAGGTAATTTTCAATGGTAAGCAAACAGTATTTTGACGCCCCCCCCCCCAACCAATCACTGATATATATTTTCTGTTCGTTATGGGAGTTCTGTGTGCCATATTTGGTTCAATTCCATCATTGGTGGAGTTCAGAAGGCTCTTTGATTGCAGGTGAACTATACATCCCAGTAACTACAATTCGCATATGTCAAGGGCTAGGCGAGGCTCAAGGGCCCGGCCCCTTCAGGAAGAGGATCACCCGGCAGCGAGGCAAGGAAGCTGAGGCTCCTCCCGGACTGCTAGGGCTGTTGTGAGCTGAGGGGGCGCTCCTCAAGTGGCGGTCGAGGGGCATTTACAGAGGTGCCTCTGCGCCCCTGGCAAAAAAAAGTGTTCTGCGACCGCTTACTTTGCGTAATGGACGAGCCGCCCCTGTGCGACCCCATCCAACACAGGCTGTAACCCTATACCCTGTTCGGCCTTACGACTGACCAGGAGTACCTCTGTCTTGTCTGGATTCAATTTCAATTTGTTCGCCCCCATCCAGACCGTCACAGCGGCCAAGCACCGGTTCAGGACCTCGACAGCCTCCTTAGTAGCAGGTGGAAAGGAGTGACAGAGTTGGACATCATCCGCGTACAGATGACATCGCACTCCGAAACTCCGGATGATCTCACCCAGCGGCTTCATGTAGATGTTAAACAACATGGGAGACAGTATTGAACCCTGAGGAACCCCACAAGACAAAGGTTGTGGGGTTGAACAGGAGTCTCCCAGTAACACCTTCTGAGACCGGCCCCTCGAGGAATGAGCGGAGCCACTGTAAAACAGTCCCTCCAAGACCCATGCCCGCGAGGCGTCCCAGAAGGATACCGTGGTCGACGGTATCGAAGGCCGCTGAGAGGTCCAGCAGCACCAACAGGGACACACTCCCCCTGTCGAGCTCCCGGCGCAGATCATCCACTAAGGCGACCAAGGCTGTCTCGGTACCATGCCCCGGCCTAAAGCCAGACTGTGCCGGATCCAGATAATCCGTGTCTACCAAGAATGCCTGGAGTTGTGAGGCCACCACACGTTCCAATTCCAAGAAAGGGGAGATTGGAAACTGGCCGAAAGTTGTTCAATTGAGTGGGGTCCAGTGATTATTTTTTCAACTGTGGTTTTATTACAGCTTGTTTTAAGCTGGCTGGAATTTTGCCTTCCCGAAGGGAGGCATTAACCACCACCTTAACCCACTCGGCCAATCCCCCTCTGGCCTCCTTCTGAAGCCAGGATGGGCAGGGGTCTAGGATGCATGTGGTAGCTCTCATTCCTCCAAGCACCTTGTCCACATCCTCGGATTGAACCAATTGAAATGAATCCATCAAAACCGGACAAGCAGATGTCTACATGGATTTTACCACAGTCAATTATGAATTCATGAGGTTTTTTTTTTTTTATAAAAAGCTATGATTAAGGATTCAAAGAGAAATAGTAGATTTATGTACCATGTTCATTTGCACACTCTTGCCCCTCGTAGGTAGTATATGACAAGCAGCCAGCTTTCTCTTCTAGTGGAGGACAAGGCTCCCCACCATTTTGGGGTTCCTGCTGTACACTACGTGTGCGCATACGGAAGTTTGGTTGGCACTGCTCTGCACATCCACTCCAATGGCTCCATTCCCCAACAATGCACGGAACAGCTAGAAAGAAATATGCAAATACACTTAATCAGAAGACCAATCCATGGTAATTAGTTCTTCTCCTTTCCTCTGTTACTATTTATCAATACCTGTCCACTTAGAAGACATCTTATTGGTGTTAAACCAGTGGTTCCCAACCTGTGGTCCATGGACCACCAATGGTCCTGCAATAATGAATATGGTCCGCAGCCTCACCATTACTACATTGTTGCCTTGAAACCACACAGCAATGACAGTGACTGGTCTTGCAAAACCCTCCTATACTGTCAAGGCAAATGGGATGTCAGGAGGAGAAAGGCTGACTACCCACGAAAGATTACTACTACCACATCAGCTGTAGATTATTAAATATGGCTTTCTGTGGGCAAGAAGATGGCGACTACAGGATGGCATATGTTCTGCATCAGAAATTAGAGCTGATGTGGTCTATCCAATGCAATTTTCTGAATCAGTACCCCAAATAACCAAATCAAATCTAAAGTTGACCAAAAACTGATTCGTAACCCTTTTGGTAGTAATGTTGGAGAGTAGTCCCTGGTCAAATGCTCCCTGGTCAAAAAAGGTTGGGAACCACTGTGTTAAACCTACCCACTTACCAACCCCACAATAGAGGCTCCTATTAGCAAGGAAAAGGGAAAGTCATATAGTCAAATATGACAAACATTATGAGGACAAGAGGAAGTAGAGCATTTAAGACTGTTGTGCCATTTTCATAGTTCATGAGTGCCATGTAATATTCAACTCTGCCCTGGACAGAACCATAAATATACGCTCTCATTTTCACATTCACCCCACATCATTCTTGCCTTTCCCATTTTTCCCTTTCTCTCCAAGTATATAAGAGAGCTCCCAGTAGTGCAGTGGGTTAAACCACTGAGCTACTGAACTTGCTGACCGAAAGGTCACCGGTCCAAATCTGGGAAGCGGCATGAGCTCCCACTGTTAGCCCCAGCTTCTGCTAACCTAGAAGTTCGAAAACATGCAAATGTGAGTAGATCAATAGGTACTGCTCTGGCAGAAAGGTAACGGCACTCCATGCACTCATGACCTTGGCTTGGTGTCTACATACACATGACCTTGGAGGTGTCTACATACAATGCCGGCTCTTTGGCTTAGAAATGGAGATGAACACCAAACCCCAGAGTCAGACACGACTGGATTTAATGTCAGGGAAAATCTTTTACCCCTATATAAACATTAATATTCCACTGATGTCCATAGATGGCATCAAAATTATTTTACTTTCACAAATATTTGTTTCTCATACACTTCTCTCTCTCTCTTTTTTTTTTTATTCATCTCATTTCAAAATTTAGTTGTTAGCCCCCTGGAACTAGAATTTGTTTTCTGGGAGAATAGTTAATTTCTCTGGGAGAACAGATCAATAGTTTCCAACCAGACAATATGAAGAAGAATCTACATATATTCATGCTTTCAATCTCTCGCATGTTCTCCCAATGCATTCAAATGAATCCGTCTTCAAGCAATTTGAAAGTACTGAATCAATAAAACTATATGTACCACCAATTAAACACATTATTCTTCAACATTTTTTAATCTGCCCCCTTTAAATAGCCCCATAATTCATGAACTAGATTCTCAATATAAGTACTGTCTTGTTTATAAAGTGGAGATGAAGTTTGGGAAACACTGCCTTGTGAGAGTCATGGTTATAATTAAAGTAAAAACATTTCATCTATCAAATTTAACTCTTGATTCACCATTCAACAATCAAATCAATAAGATTCACAATGACATCAGGCCATTTCATTTAACACTCAGGAATAATATAAAACTGCATTTAAAAGGATATACTCGGTCCATTGCTATTTTTAAGATTCCGAAAGAAAAGTGTGGACAAATGGAAGCTGCTATTTAAATCATCTATTATTTTTTGTGATCGTGGCTTGCATGTTCCTTAAGGATCCACCTATTTCATATTTGAAAACCTCGCCCCTCCTTTCTCATTCCAAAAATAATACGTACCCATAATGTATAATCACCCTTTAAAATCCTATTACAAACACTTTAATCATAATCTTTATAATTGTCATTAAAAGATTATTGCTTCATGCATGATGATGAGCCTTTTCAATCTGCAATCCATTGCAAATATGCTGCTCCTTCAAAGTGGCAACCCATTGCTATCACCCTGGACCACCCAGAAGGAAGACCGCCTAGGTTGTCCAGCTGATGGGAGTGGACGCCTCTAAGGAATAGCTCTCCGTGGCCTGGTCCGTGACATTATCCTCATAACCAGTTCATCTGTATGTTTTTTCTACAGGATAACCATGCTCAATATACAGTATCTTGCAGTAACATAAAAAATATACATAATTAAATACAACTAGAGTTTTCAGATTACTCAGTAACAAATACAATATGTTGGACTAAACATTAGAAAGAAATGCACTGAAATTAAACAATACACTCATTCTAAGGCATTATAGAAAGCTGTAACCAAAACAAAGAGAAAGGAATTAAAATATTATGACAAACACTAAGTTTTATCCAAAGTTAAATGTCGTCCAAATTATAAATGCTAAAACAGTAAAGCAGTAATTCGATGACATAAACATACATACAGTACAATAAACACATACATTAAAACCAAGAAACATCAGTATTAAAACCAGTTATTAAAATATTGTCGTCCAAAATCAAATCCAAGGCTGTTCTTCCATTAGTCATTTCACTATTCCATATTTTTGTATTGCACTAACTTGCTAGCCAAAAGCTTGGTCCTATAACCACAATTTTACTTTCTTCCTGAAGGTCAGGGGGGAGGGGGCTGCTCTAATTTAGTTGGGGATGGAGTTCCATTGGTGAGGGGCCACACATGAGAAGGCCCTGTCTCTTGTCCCCACCAACCACATTGGCAAGGGAGATGGGACCGAGAGCAGGACCTCTCCAGAGGATCTTAGCCTCCAAGGTGGATTGTAAAGGGAAATACGTTAGGGCACTGATTCTCAACCTGTGGGTCCCCAGGCATTTTGGCCTACAACTCCCAGAAATCCCAGCCAGTTTAGCAACTGCTAGGAATTCTGGGATTTGAAAGCCAAAACATCTGGGCACCCACAGGTTGCGAACCACTGGTTTAGGGCTTTATAAGCTAAAACCGGCACTTTGAATTGTGCTTGGTAGCAGACTGGCAGCCAATGGAGCTGACGTGACAGGGTGGTTGTTTGCTCTATAGCCTCAAAGATTATCTTTCTCAAGTTCTCCCTCTCTTTATCCCATCCTGCACCCCAAGATTAGAAGAAGGAAAAGTTATGTTGAAAAGAAGTGTCACTGAGCTCAAAATAAATATTTAGTAAATTATCATTGACCATTTCTTTTTAAAATAGATGTTCTAGACAGGCATGTAGCCGGGGGGGGGGGGCTCAGGGGGCTTCAGCCCCCCCTGAAATTCTCATAGTGGTTCGCGAAAAGGCCTTACTAGTGCATTATTTAAACTGTTATGTTTATTCATATCATGATCTGATCACCATACTCAATATATCCCATATGCATGGGGGTATTGGGGTAATGATACAAAAGGTTTGCTAGGCTAGACCCTCTTTCACTCAGACTCAGCCCCCCCGAAACTCAGTCCCCCCGAAACCCCCCCTGAAAAAAATTCAGCCCCCCCCCCCCCCCCCCCGAAACGAAATCCTGGCTACGGGCCTGGTTCTAGAGCAGGCTTCTTCAACTTCCAGGTGTTTGAGCCTACAACTCTAAGAAGCTCTAGACAGCTTGTTTGGTGGTCATGAATTCTGGGAGCTGAAGCCCAAAACACCTGAAAGGCCACGGGTTGAAGACACCTGTTTCAGAAAGTTTAGGGGAAAGAGTTTATCTAGGTAATGTCTCATTATACTGCTTTTTCTGTATCATAGAAAGATATCATAGAGTCCTATTGAGTCTGACCTCCTCTCAATGCAGGATCTCCAACTAAAATGCTACAGCAGGTAGCTGCCCAGCCTTTTGACTAAGGTGTCACTGTGAAAAACTACTCTTTCCCCTGAGATTTCCACATTCTGTAGTTCACCAAGAGATAGAGGGGAGTCAATAGTGAGCATGAAGTACGTATCATCACCAGAGGCACGTGAGTCTGTGTATTATATATTCAACTGTCAGATAGAATATGTTTTCAGAACATATTACTTCATGCTTAAGATCAAAATATATTACATAATATATATGTGTTATATATGCATGACATCCTATACTGATTTCTAACATCTTACATATATTAAGAATATTACACAACAAAACCAAACTCCACACCGCTGCTATAAACCTGTCTTTGCTACCTGAGAAATCAAATTATTGTTTCTAGTCTACTAAAGCTTCCACAGACACAAATTGCCCGCTCCACTAATATAGTCTCTCCATTCTTCAGATGCCAGTTGAGGTCTAGCCAAGGTTTAAAGGATGCCAACATTCAGGCATTTGAAGCCATGGCCAGTGGAGGAAACTCTGGAGGATGATCAGCAAAGAGAGGTAAGATCTATATTAAACACAAATAGGTCGGAAAGCAGTTCTGACTCTGCTCAGACATTGTTATTTATTTATTTCCCAATTTTACTCCCAACATTAGGACCTAAACCATCTCCCACTTTTTAAAAAATAGTTTAAAAACATACAAAAACTAAATATTAAAATATATTTTAAATATCAAAATAATTGTGTTACCTTCCACTTCAAAGGAGATCTCATCAGAGTACGCACATGTGGTTTTTTTAAACTACAAAACCAAAAATCCTCCAACAGCAGGGCCAAAGCCAGTGAGCCCACTCACATTCATGCCAGATGTGAAACACATCACACCATGTTAAAAGAATTAATGTACTCTTATTGAGACATGCCACATTATCATAGGATGTCTACGCCCTACACTGCTGGAGAGATTATACTGTTCAGCCAGTATTGTACCACCTGACATCCATCGGGAAGCAGCCAGTAATGAAAGGAATAACAACATGGTATTAAATATCATTAAACATTATATTATGTACAAT